GACCGGGAGGCAGCGCTGGCAGATCTACTTCGTGGCGGCTTGTGCTCGGCTGAGATGGGTGTGATGCTCATGGGTGAGTGCGGGTGCTGCTGAACCGTATTCGTGGCCATCTGGCTCTTCTGCTAAGTTTCTGTCCCTCACTCAGCACCTTGGGTAAGTGAGGGACTCTCTGGCAGCTGAACGGTTTACCGTATAAACACTAACTGGACTTGAAAGTGTAACTTGTTTTTGAAAACTGCTTGAATTTTTCTGATGGCACAAACTGTTGGAGTCGCAATAGTTTGAGCAAGTATGTAAAACGTGTTCAGTGAGCGGGGTTTTTGTGAGAATAAAAATCAGGGGTCAAGAAAGACGTCCTGGCAGCTAACCATGGTAAAATAATTCAGGGAAAACTCTGTGGACACGTTTTGTTAATATGTGTGAGTGTGTGTCTGTGTGTGTGTGTGTGTGTGTGTGTGTGTGTGTGTGTGTGTGTGTGTGTGTGTGTGTGTGTGTGTGTGTGTGTGTGTGTGTGTGTGTGTGTGTGTGTGTGTGTGTGTGTGTGTGTGTGTGTGTGTGTGATTGGGGTGAGGGGATCGTGGATTTTCATCTGTGGAGTAGGGGTGGGAAATTGACTGTTGTGTGGTTATTTTTAATCGTGTACAGCACTTTGAGTTGCACTCGCTGTATGAAAATCACTTCATAAAGTTTGATTTGATTTAATATTTGAATTAATACATTTGAAAGCAGTTTTATCTTCAGTTTTCCTCTTTGAATTATTAGAGTAGAACAAGAATGAGCGCCTTTAGATAATAATCCTAAAGAACTTTACAAGCACATTAAGATTAATGATGAATGACCCGCACTTGTATAGTGTCTTTCAGAGTCAAAGGACTCCAAAGCACTTTACACTACAGTGTATCATTCGTCTATGTACACACACATTCACACACTGATGGTGAAGAGCAACGATGTAGCCACAGCTGGCCTGGGGCGCACTGACAGAGGCAACGTTAAACAGTTATGGTAAAAAATGGGTGTATATGGGTGAAATAAATACTGTTATGATTGTATGAATCATTTCTTGACATCTTAATAAATTGTGAATAATGTGCTGAGCCTTGATTTGAAGAAACTCTGGAATTGTACTGAAATTTTTCTGCTAAGAAAATTATTGCAAATCATTTTTCTCCTGAAATCATTCAGCCCTAGTAAAATAAAGATATTTAAATAAATGACTGAATTTAATTCAGGTTTTTTGTGTTCTTTATTGAAGCAATTCATTAAAGAATAGCATTAAATAGCCAGGGGCTGACTGATATATACATTTTTTTTATATTTTAAATTATTTTTAAAAGCCAATAATAAAAAAATGCAAAAACTGACCAGACACCTGCGTGGCCAACTGCTGCCACTACTAGACTGAAGAAAAGACCCGGAGGACCCCAACAGACATGTTTTTTTAATTGTATTATGTTTGTTTAATAAACATTAAGTGATTTATGGACTTATTGAATTTATATTAGACACTGTGAGTGTTCGGTTGTGTTTCACAATCAATTGGCTTTAATAATCAGCTTTAGGTATCGGCCATCTGCAACAAAAATCTTTTAAAATTGGTATCGGCCTTAAAAAAGGCATATCGGTCTGCCTCTAGCCAGGGCTGCAATTATTATATTAAATATTTATTTACATTTTTTTAAAATTATTGGTATAGATCAATATGGATTTTTTTTTGTTATACTTTTTACCTACATCATCCAGCCCTGAATCTGTTATCAGTTTTTTTCTTCTAGCCCAGTAGAGAGCTGGTGCCATGTTAAAGCACAGCTGATGTGAAACCATAAACAGTGGGTCAACAATATAAAACAAGAGCTGAGAATCAAAATTACATTTCAGTTCTGATCACTAATAAATGTCTTAATAAGAGGTGGGAATCGTTTGCCATTTTTGCAAACGATTCCCTTATCAGTTCCAGTCGGCGTGAATGCACGTTGTGTAGCTTCCGCATTTACTCAGCTGGAACCAGGGCACGTAAGTGGCACAAGTGCTTAAAAGTTTGGTTACACTTCACGAGAAAGGATGACAACAGGACTACTTATAATACTTGCAAAGTAGACGTTTCATCAAAGGGAGAAAGCCATATGCAAAAGCATCTGTTCACAAATATGCAATAACTTATAATAACTTATAATAACTGAATGTTGTGTTTTTGACCCTCTCCAGAGAAGCGACTTTCAACACAGCAGCAGTTTGCATGTCCTCTCCTGTTAATACTGCAGGTAACTAATCAGCCATCACCGCCCGTCATGTTAGCGTCTTTTGCCTTATTTCCACACCTCCACTCTAGCAGACTCCCCATCTGACCTGTGGTGAGATTTAGCCAATTTTGCAAAAGCTACAGCAACACTACACCATACAAGATGAGTGTTTCCGCAAGAAAAACAAAAGAGAATATTCAGAAAGATCCTTCCAAACAATACCAGGTATAGTTGATATCATCATTATTAAACTTACATTTCTAATGCAGGAGACAGTGTAAAACTAATGTTTTGCCACTTCCTGAACTACTCTGGAATTGATAAGGGAATCACATTGATAGACAGAATTGACAATGACATTGATATTGATAAAAACTTATTAATTTCCACCTCTAGTCTTGATAGAACCCCTGAACTGATATGATATTGGATTGTGTCATGTTTGTGAATTAATAATCCATCCAAATTACTTAAACTGGCTATATTGTTGGAACAATGTTATTTTTTATTCTGGATAAAGTAATTTGTTTAATTAATAAGAATATCATTTTTTTAACATCTTCAGTCCCAATTTTGATCCCCTGTTCCTGTTCAGACCTCCAACCTCACAAAGCTAGTATCTATTACAAAAGCCAAAGGAGAAGATAACAGATCACTGTAACTACTTCCTTCCTCACTAAATGAAACCCTTGAGAGATTTTCTAGCCAGAGAAGATGAAAAATGTTAGGGTGGCTCCATTATTGATACAAGTCTCCAGCAGTGAAAGAAATGAATGCTAATGGTGTCCTAAGCTGGGCTTTACAAAGATTAATCCGATTTGAGAAATGAACATTTTATTATAAGGCACACAGTGCTGGCCTTGATCTGAAGTGAATTACAGACTGAAAGAGGAAAAAAATGACAAAAGGACTGTGGGAAAGAACATGGGTGTACAGCTTGTCGCTTTACAAGACCCTGGCACCTCATTGCAGTAGTGCCCTTTTCCAGCTGACAAGTTCATTAATTTTCTGACATGGCTGCCCAGAGTGATTTTCAATAGATAAGTCAGACAACAATGGCTGAAGAAGCTGGACATAAAACAGATGTCTGTAGTGGTGGCATTATTAGCTGAAGACAGATTTTGTGTGAGCAGCAGGAAGTCCCACTTGGTCCCTCCACTGCACCTGCTCTCGGGCTATTTCCTACAGTTTAGAAGAACCAACAGAGATACGCAGGGGATTCAGCTGTTGTCACAATGTTTCCTTCAAATCCATCTTTATATTCAGATTTTTATCACATATACCCATGGCCATGAGGAAAAAAGTGACATCATAAACACACAGCTCAAATCCATCTTTAACCGAATGTCCACAGGGATGAAAAAGCTCTGAGGAGTGTTAAATGGGGAGGAGGAATAGTCCCCATGCTTATTACCATAAATCACCAAGCACCAGTAGCCAATAAACAACTGCAATCTTGGGGAATATGCGAGGAGGATTTATCATACTAAAGCCTCTGACAGGGCAAAAACAAATCAGCAGACTAATTTGTCTCCCCAAGGTGATGTCACTCCATCATATAGAGGGCTTTTCTTTCAGAGGGTGACTGGTGTCTACCGTGTTTCTCACTTTCACAAGTGAGTGATGCCATTTCTTCTTTAACCAAACAGTCACAGACACCTCCTTCCTTTAGTCTCAAATAAAGCTGATGAAAAACATCCCTGAACCAATGAAAAAACGAAAAAAAGGTGGTTCTGATAAATACTGCATAATGTTTTAGGAAATCCATTCTCTATTTCACAGATTTGAGATTACAGATCACATGGCAGACTCAAACAATCAGAATGGGCAACTGTTGCGTTGTGGCATACTGCAGGGGGTTCAGATTCAACAGTGCAGAGGCTCAGATGTGATTTGCAAGCCGGGGACTACAATATCTGCCTTCTCCAGCTAGGGAGAGGCAAAGGGAAGGCAGCAGATTTTCATTTCAGCACCACCTAGAAGGACAGCTCCCTTCCATCCTAGCACGGAGGCAGCGAACAAGCGCCTTTTGTTTTAGCCTCAGCGAGTGGCTAAAGGGTGGAAGGGGAGATTAATAAAAGAAGAAAATAAGAACTGATGGTGTGATTAATCCCTTCAAGATCCAAGATCCGTCAAGACCCAGTGCTTGAAATTATTTTTCCTGTAATAAATATTTAGTGATTATAGGTCGCTTTACTCCAAGGTTACACACACACACACACACACACACACACACACACACACACACACACACACACACACACACACACACACACACACACACACACACACACTAAATATGGCAGATTTTCTGATACCGAATGTAGGTTAAGCGCATCCAGGTATGGACTGGAGGAGTTGATTCCCGCTTATGCAGCGAAGGCAGCTGCCCTGGCCGCATTCAGCTTCTTATTTCTACTCATTCATCTTTTTAGAAAGAAAAATGAAGTGATGTTTAAGCTGCTCGTGACATTTTAGCTTTATATTCGCACATTCAACTCAAGCACGCGCAGTAAAACCAAGCAGAGCTCAGTGAGCACGCACATTTTCTCGTTTAGACATCTTTCACTTAAGTGGCTGAAAAAGTAATCAGGATAAAACCTTGACAATCACGTGCCGGTACCGGTCACTCTGGATATGAAAGAGGAGAACGTAAAATGAAAATACAGTTGGAGATTGCACAAGAAGATGGAACTGGTTAGGTTTTTAGGAGGGGGATAGAGACAGTGTGTGTTCTGTTGAGCACGAACAATAACTTACTTATACTCGGAGACGCAATGTCTGGAGGGTCCCTGCTTTAGGTCTCTTCCAGTCCCTCTTCCAAAAACTGCATCAGTGGGAAAAAAAATCCGCAATTATCGGGCGATTTTACGAAATCCGTCGTGTCACCTTCCTTTCAGACACATTGTGTTCCCACTCTTAGAACGAAGTGGCATGTAATCCACACATTAGTCCGGATGGCACAGTGATGACAGCCTGTAACGCAGAGGATATTTCCTCCTCTTCTTCCAGGACGCAGAAGCACCCACAAGTGCGATTGTTGAAAGTAAGCGATGCCCAGTGTAGTCCAAGATTTTTTTATCCCCCAACGATGAGTCAAACGAAGTGTTCCTTTTTTATTTTAACGAGGATGAATAATATAGTGACCTTTCCAAAGCACGCAGAGCGCAGGGATCCTTATGTGATCAATGTCCAGGCAGTTCCATCCTGGAGAGCTCACAGTTTATCCACACAGCAGGCATCAGTGTTCCTAATGCAACTTTTCATCGAGCCCCATTGGAGGCTATAGATTAGTCATATGCCTGATTACATTTCACCTCACAGCCCGGTGCAGATTAGAAGATTTCGGTTTCCCCCTCGTCGGTGAAAGCGCTAAAGAAGTAAGAAGTTGGTTTGGTACCCGTTCTCCGTATCTGACACAGCTATTTAAAACGAGGCATGAAAACGAATCATATCAAAATCCGGAGGGGGGGTCATCGTTCACAGCCTGGAAGAGCTCCGCGTGAGATCACCAAACGCTGAGCGTTGATGGAGCATTGATGCCACCAGAGGAGTCAGATCTCAGAACTTGTGTCGCTTCCTCTCCACTGATTTCTCCCCCAGCCCCGTCGTGACGTGGCAGAACATTTTCAGGGCTGAGTGTCCGGTCCGCTGCTCCTCTCCGGACTGCGGAGAGGTTTAGGCTGCTACGGCTGTGCGCGCGCTTTCCTCTTTTACGCAGGCTGTATCCATCGAGTACGCTCCGAAATGCCCGGGCGCCTTCGGGGCTTTAGATTCAAATAAAAACAGACAACGAACGGATGCTCAGGAGGGGGACATCGTGTAGGTTATCTCCTAGTGACAAGCTGCTCTTCCCACTGATCCATATACATCTGCAGGTGGATGGAGTCAGCCGCAGGACTAAGGCAGTGAAGGCAGGGGATATCTCTCCCCCTCTTTTACAGTCTGAACTTGTAGAGCTGGTGCACTTTTTCCCCAGCTGGTAACCTCTGCACTCACCTCACTCAGTGGCATTCAATAATTGATCTTTTGTCATTCTCCAGACTCATTAAAAGAAGTAAACCACATTCGTGTGGATGTTAATGTGAAAAGCAACAGGGAATAACAATAATAATAATAATAATAAACAAGGCACGGAGGAAATGAAATAAACCGACAAAAATTGGAGAATTAACCCGAGTGGGCAGACAGAAAGAGTTTCCTCCCATGAGTATCCTGCTAATGGGACACGACTGCCACCTACCGGTTTCCCTCTCTTGGGTGACTGCGTCCTCAGGCTGATTGTCGCATAGGAGCGCTCTCCCATGACAGAATATAGGTTTTGTTTGCATAAAGTTATTTGTTTGTTCTTTTAAAACCACTTAAGGCTTAACAGGAAACCCAGCTTTGTATATGTTTGGTGCATGCATGAAAAAAGTGGAGCAGGAGAGAAGTGTGACAATCCAGAAATCAGATTAATATGTGTTCTAATCTCTCCCAGGCTTCAGCACTTTACACCCTATTTATAAATGCTGGCTGAGGGTTATGAATTATGAAATGGGCCTAGACGTTGCAGATTTTGTGCATGGCGGCTGACACATGAGACTTCAGGTTTTCAAAAAGATTATTGCTGGTGAAGCATTTATCTTAGGCAGCCTGCTGCACTGCAAATATTATGCTAAACTCAGTAATATTCTACAACACATTAAAGGTGCGGATGGGCTAGTTCGAAGCGAGCGTGGATTCACAAGGCTGTGTGATCACAGATGTGAGAAAACATTTGGATGCCAGACCAGGGATGTGTCCATCTAGCTGTCAACATCTGATCTCATTTCCCTCAGTGCCGAAGGCGTTGCATCATTCATCTGTCTTCATAACTGTCGACCTGCCTGTCTGTGTACATATGGTAGTAAAGAGCACCACCCTCCTACTTTCCAGTCAGAGGAGACATCATTAAATATTTCTGTTTCTCTTTTCCATTTTTCCTGTTTCCTTTTTTATACATTAACTATAACCATTAACTGGAAAAAAAAATCAGTCCTACACTTTTATGTTTAGTTTTTAGAACATTGTATATTTGTTATTAATCTTAAATATGTATGTCACTTAAAATCATCGTGGTCATCTCAAAGGTGGTTGACTAAAGACATTTAATTATTTTTGATTATATTCGTTTGCTCTGAGTTTTTAATGCAGGCTGAACATGAAAATAATCTCCTAGACTTATGTCCTGCCCTAGCTTCTGATAGAAAATAGACGGTGAAACGCTAGGATTTGAAAATCCTCACATATTTATGTCACACTGTGAATTTGCATTCATGATCATGCCCATCTTGGCTCACGCCCTCCCACAGGAAGGCTTTTGTGAAAAAAAATTGCAGCAAGGAGAGAGAGTGGAGTGTCTTGTAGAACATGTTCTCTTAGCCAATCAGAAGAGAGGCATGTGCATACCATTAATAATCATGAGTAATTCTGCTGTTTTCAGTCTACCTCTGCACCAGCAGTCTTCTGCATCTCATAACAGGATCATCTTAGCTTTTTTACTCCCTCATAAGGCATTGACTTACACTTGAGATGACTGCAGTTGTATGGAATAAATGAGTAAAGCACACCTTTAAGTGTCCTCTATAAATTGTGTTTTGTCATTGTTTGACTTCCTTGCTTAATTAATGGCTTTGGAAGCTTTTACCTCTCCACTCTAAGTTTCCCTACTGCTTCATGGAAGTCAGTATTGTAAGCAAAAGTTTTTGTTTTTAAATTTTCGGCGGCTTTTGGTCCACTACTTTATGGCTGTCTACATCTTTCATTAATTTCTATACTTGTGTATATAATAGCATAACACATTAAGATGTTTATGTGACATGCTTAGAATAATTAAGATACTTTTTGTCATTGCTGGTGTAGTTCTTAAAACTATTATAGAAAAAGTCCCTTTGGAACAGAAATTTTAAAGGAGTGGTTCACTCATTTAGTCAATACATTTGCAGTGTTCTCTAGTAGGAATGCATGCATTTTAGGTTATTCTCAGAGATAAATATTCTGGGGGCCCATTTCCAGGAAGTAGTAATGACCCACATTACAGTTGAGCTTCATATGTCAGGTTTTGCTGTCTTATTTCCTGATATTTGGACATTGCTGGGTAACAGCAAAGCGAACTCTACACTGACTTGCAACATTGATGTTTTATCTTCACAAACAACAAAATCCTGGAGGACTTTCTGCCGTGTGGTGAAGTTGCCAATGGTAATGGTTAGCTTCTACTAGTTGGGATGTTCTAGGCCGTTTCCTGGACACTAAACCACAACAGCCTTCCCCATCGTTAGTCAAGATGGTTGACCCCATAGTTTCCTTATGTTGCGACTGCCTGAATATGTGCTTTTATGTACCGGGGGGTGGAATATCTCCTCCAGGTCAGGGATGAGGTCCTGCCTCAAGTAGAGTTGTTCAAGTATCTCGGGATCTTGTTCAAGAGTGAGGGAAAGATAAAGCATGAGATCAATAGGCAGATTGGTGCCGCGTCTGCAGTGATGCAGGCGTTGTGCTGCTCTGTTGTAGTGGAGAGAGAGCTGACCCACATGGCAAAACTCTCAATTTACCGGCCGATCTACGTTCCTACCCTCATCTATGGTTATGAGCTTTGGGTAGTGACCGAAATAATAAGATTGCATGTCCAAGTGGATGTTAAAGATAAGGTGAGAAACTCGGAGTAGACTCGCTGCTCCTCCACATCAAAAGGAGCCGGATGAGGTGGCTCAGGCATCTGGTTAGGATGCCTCTTGGACGCCTCCCTGGTGAGATTTTCCAGGCACGTCCAACCGGGAGGAGATCCAAAGGAAGACCCGGGACACAATGGAGGGACTATGTCTTGCGGCTGGCTAGGGAATAACTTGGGATTCACCCAGAGGAGCTGGCCCAAGTGGCTGTGGAGAGGAAAGTCCAGGCCTCCCTGCTTAGGCTGCTGTCCCCATGGCCTGACCTCAGATAAGTGGATGAAAATATATGGATGGATGATGTACCAAGGTGTTTTTGTAAATGGTTTTGATTGACTGCATGTACTTTGTCTTCCCATTGTAGCGTTAGGAAGTTTATAATGGTCTGCCCTTAACAGCTGCCCCTTTACACAGTAACATCGCCAAGGTCGGACGCTTGGTTCAGTATGTTTACATTCCGGGAGAAGAGACAGAAGAACAGAAGAAGAACGCTTTTCATTGATTAATCAAAGTACTGTATTTGTGATAAGCTAATCAAAGCATTTGTTGATCATTAATAATCAGGTGAATGATCTGTGAAAAAAAGATGTCATGAGTTATGTGTTTAAATGAATAAACAGGGCTGCCCCAGACAGACTGATATGCATTACCATGGAAACGCATGACACATTGTTTTCAACCAATCAGAACTTTCGTCTGTCGTAGAGAGAATCTGGGATGTTTACTTAATGTGTCCAATCCGGTTTACTAAGATTCATAAACAACTGGGAGATATAAAAAGAAGGCAACGCCATTTTAAGTTCTGTTCCACGTTAAGTTCCACGTTGACATCAGCTCTGTTCGATCTGAGCTCCAAGGAGTTACATCGTACTCTCAACAGTGTTTTCAACCAGCTCTCAATCCATCACCGCAAATAGGAGTACAGGCTGGCCAGCTGTATTTCCTGTTTTAAGCTGAGATCTGTCAAGCTGGAGACTTCCTTCGTTTGTACCAACGAGACAACCGTCCTTCAAAATACTGTAAGAGTGAACTTGCTGACGCCTGCCCACTACTACTGGAGTTATCCTCAGACGGGCGTTGTGTGCTGTGACCGCTGTTTCAACCAGCTCCAGTACAACCGAGGTCTTAGGACCTGGCAATTCCTGATCTACACTGGAGACTCCATCTACGGTACGTGGCAAAATGGCGGCTCATGTCATCAGCTTCTGAAGCCTTGTGGTAGCCTAGTCATAACAAACCAGATTCGCTACATCAGCCTAGAGATTCTGAACAAAACACACACACACACACACCAACATGAAACATCAAAATCCACATGCATTCATCATTGAGATAGTCCTGGTAGATTGTAAGAATTTATAATTATAGAAATTAAAGATGCTTAAACGATCCCAACTCTCTCTCTTTCTTGTCTCTCAGTCAATACAGAGTGTTTAAGTAAACTCCCTGATGATAAAAACAACCACTTCTGATTGATTACTTAGATTTAATTCCAGTGTATAAATATACAAAATCAGATAATTGAATTATCTAATTACAGTATATAAATATACAACTAAAATTCACAACACCATCTAGTTTGTTTCTTAAAGCTATTTTAGATTAATCTTTCCACAATCTTTATAAAAATAAAACTTGCTCTTAAAGTATAAAGAATAAGTTAACGTTCCTCAAAATCCAAGAACTTCCCATTTCGCCCCTTTTAGAAACCCCTCATGTAAGCACAACTCTTGAACACTATTGGAACACCTTGGTAAAGATCACTCCGTCCTTGGAGAGTGATTGAAAAGTGCTATGCTGCCATTGTTAAAACTCTGACCTTGTTCCCTGAAAGGCCAAGACACATAAGACTCATGGGGCCTGTTATTCTTAAAGCTGCAAGGGCAAATAAAAATCCTGCTTAGGGGAATACCTATTATATCACAGCCTCTGCTTTTAGAAATCTAATAAAAATGGCAATTATAGATGCAGCTGTATGCATCTTTTGAGATACTTCTGAATTTTCATTCTGAGTGTTTCTGACAGATACAGAGAAAGATAAACACACTCGGACCTCTTCTTTTTCACAAATCAATGCAAAGAGATGCATTTGTGAGAAGCATGCTGTACAGGTGAGCTTCAGTCAATCCAAATCATGCTAATGCTCTGATTTTTTAATAGAAGAAAACAAAAAAAAAGGGGGGGGGGGGATCCTGAAAGGTTACCCAGCAAAGAGCATAGCAGAAAAAAAAATGCATGATTTGCATGATATATGCATCAACTACAAACTGCTGCAGGAGTGTTGGGTTTGCTTCTTGAACCTTCAACTTTCTCTAAAAACCAACCAGCTCAGATATCGGGTAAGAAGGTTTCTACTGTGACACCCACAGTTGGCCCACTTCAAAAAGAGGCTCTGAATACATTAATAATGCTCGTTCCTTATTTTAAGATCGACCATTCATTATTCATGTTGTTTTTGGAGGGCATGAGACATCACTACTGATCTCCTGCTGGGCTCAGTGGCATTAATACAATGCAGCAAGGTGTGTGAGGGGCAGGGGCGGATTAAGGACTGAAGAAGATCCGGGGCTTAACACACATGTGCGCACACACGCACGCACACGCGTACACACACACACACGTGACACGCACTAGTCAACACATATATTTGTCTTGTACCACATAATATGTAGCTTCAGATGAAAAATTAAGCATTTTCAGGGCAGAGTATTGTTCCTTGTAGTGTTTAGTGTGAGATGATAGTAAATATTCCCTTTCTTTCTCCATCAACTTTACCTGATAGTAAGCTAACTTTAGGCAAACCAGCAGCACAACAAATATTTTCAAATAAGACTCACAAACCTGAGTCATCACCAGTCTCATCAAAGCTGGGGTTCTGTCGCGGTTCTGACACTTTTTGTCTAAAAAACGTCCTTATGTCCATCTTCACACATGCGTTCCAGGCAGAGTGTAGAAAAAAACAGGCACTGCAGAAGAAACCGGCTGCTGAAGGGCTTCTTCTTCAGTGGTGGAGGCTCAGGCAGGCTGTATACAAACTACTGCTAGCTGCTCCCTCTCTGTTGGACTTTGGTACTGCATGTTACTTCCACGTTTGAGATCCGGGGCTTTTCATTAAAGATTCGGGGCTTCAGCCCAAGCAGCCGGGCCTAACGCCGCCCCTGGTGAGGGGTATGACACAGAGAGGGAAGTCTATCCAAAGGCGTGCGGATGTTTCACTCGTCACTCATTGGTGTTTCACTGATGCATTTTTAATCTTTTACTAAAACTCCCCCGTTTTTTCCCCTCGACATTCTCATTTCTCTAACCTAAAGTCACTTCAACACGTTAATCTGATGGTAGATTTTGACTAAGCTTCAGCATGAATGGCATCTTGAAGATCCAAGGTTATTCAACCAATCTTAATGAATAAATTTACCAACATCTTTCAGATCCTGTTTATTCTCTAGTTTGATCCCACTACTGTCTAGCTCTACTCCTCATTTCAGGCTTCTGGTTGCCCATCAGGTGATTCATAATTCAAGAATAATTTAAAAGTTTTACTCCATTCATTTATTTACCATTTCCACAACATTAGCATACATTTTCCTGATTTAGTAAACAAAATTTTGCTGATTTTTTGAAACAATTTCTAGTTAGGCAGTTTAACAGAGGTGGCTGGATAAGTGGCGTGGGTAGTGGATATTGACTGCAGCTCAGAGGAACACTGAGAAAAGACACTACACACTGATGGATGAATGCATTTCTTAAACTACTTCTTGATTTTTATCAAATCATGTTGTATTTTAAGCATTTTGTCAAGTTACTTAAAAAAATAATTTTTAATGCAGATGTGATGATTTGAAGTGGTGAGCATCCATAGGTGGTGATATGAAGGGAATGAAGGAGGCAGGCAGGTAAAGTTAATAAAAAAAATAATAAGAAAAAAGTATGTTCTTTAAGGAGCAGGGACTGTACATCACAGGGATACACAACAAGAGAACTGTTAACTGAACTGGTTTTAAATAGACAGGGAAGTGAATACAAGGACAATGGAATAGGTGAGATGATTGCTGATGACAAGGGCCTACAGGTGTGACTGAGTGAGGAATGGGAGGTAAAGCAAAACACAAGAGGAGGATCGAAGACTGAAGTCAAACATCTAAGATGAGTGCAGAAACTCCTGAAAGTGGATTAAGAACTGCCCAACGCATTATTAAAAACTGCAAGGTGGGACCCTTCTTCTTCAAGGAAGAAACGTGGGTGGAAAAGAAAACATGAATGATCGTGATCAGCGATCAGCTTAATGTTTGGTGAAATCAAACCGAAAAACAAAAACAACAACAGAAGGACTCAGGGCTAATTTTAACAGTGAAAGTAAGATCAGTTCCACACACACAGTGTAAAGGGAACTCAAAAGATTTGGACTGAACAGCAGTGCACCCACACAAAAACTACTAATCAGTGAGACAAACTAGAAAAAAAGGCTCAGGCAGCATAATGATTTGTCTCCGTCGCAATGGAAGGAGGTCATGTGGTCTGATGAGTACATATGGACCCTGTTCCAGAGTGATGGGTGCATCAGGGTAAGAAGAGAGACAGATGAAGTGATGTACCCATCATGCCTGCTGCCTACTGTACAAGCTTGTGGGGGCAGTGCTATGATCTGGGGTTGCTGCAGGTGGTCAGGTCTAAGTTCAGCAACAGGATGTGCTCCAAGAATGAGGCCAGTTGACCACCTGAATATACTGAATGACCAGGTTATTCCATCTTTCCTGATGGCACGGGGATATTCCAAGATGACGATGCCAGGATTCATCAGGCTCAGATAATGAAAGAGTGGTTCAGGGAGCATGAGACATCATTTTCACATATGGATTGGCCACCAGAGAGTCCAGACCTTAACTCCATTGAGAATCTTTGGGATGTGCTGGAGAAGGCTTGGGGCAGCGGTCAGACTCTACCATCATCAATGCAAGATTATGGTGAAACCTTAATGGAAAACTAGATGGGAATAAATCTGGTGACATTGCAGAAGCTTATCCAAACAATGCCACAGTGAATGTTTGTCATAATCAAAGCTAAACGCAGTCCACCAAAATATTATAGTGTGTGACCTTTTTGATTTATTAATTTTTTGGGGGGGTGGCGACACATTTTTTTTAACCAGGCAGGGTATAACAATGACACAATGTTGTAAAAAAGATCTATTTTTTATTGTTAAACTAAGTAAACTGCTAAAAAAGGGGGTGGAGTTAAACAAGTGTAGGCTTCTTCATGCTCCTTTTTGAACATACAGATATTAATATGTTTTAATGGAAAAAAAAATATTATTCCTATAATATCTTTACCATATTTAATTTGTCTGTTATATGATATACATTACTTATCATTGTTTATTTAGTTTTTTTATTGTACATGTTCCGATAAAAGTCTTACACATATAAGGCAGCTTTCTCCCCTCTGCCATAACAGCATAGACCATTGCAGAAAGACATTTTTAACCTGTAAGCTTACATTTGGGATTGCCATATAATTCCATATGAAAATATTCTGAAAATAAAACATAAAAAATAACTCATTCCCACTGACAGGGCCTAATTGAGTTTATTTCCATTCCCAAGTTTGAAGAGAGCCCATCTGAGTGAGTTTGTCTCAAAGCCTGTTACATTTCTGACATTTAGCCATTGAGTAAACCACTGGTCTGACAAACTTTCAAGGTTTTACTCACTTATGTAAGGCTAGGTTGGCAGAATGCGTGGGCACTAAGAAATTATGTATTCCTTTAAGCCTTGTGTGCGAGCCCTTTTTGGGGGTCATGGTTAAGGATCAAAATTCAGTGATGCAAAGATGATGTAGGCTGTTGAAATATTCTGGGTACATTTTGATATAGAGGTAGACCAAAAGGAAGGGAAAATTATGTGTGTGCTGTGGAACATGATGGAATGTGGATTCTTACATTTCCCACCACCCAAAAAAAGAGGAAAAAATAAAAAAGATTTGGAAGTTTTTGTTGCCCTTCATCTGTACATAATTCTTATTTTTTAGTCACTGTCATAAGCTGAAATAACAATTTGCAGGGAATTTAAGTGCAAACACACACACACACACACACACACACACACACACACACACACACACACACACACACACACACACACACACACACACACAAATTCTTGTATTTGTAACCATGTTAGGACTTTGTATTGACTTCCATTCATTTTAGCGAGTCCACTATGCCTAACCAAAACCCTTACCCTAACCCTACCCAAGTGTATTCCTAAAGTTATCTGTAACAAAACTCAATTCACATCTTATCTGCAAACCTCACTCCTAAGGAGTCTGGGTTTTGGTCCTAACAAGGACCATTGGTCGTAAGGTTAGTAAGTATCCCAAATCCGGTCTTCACAAGGGTACAAATACAAGCCCGCACACGCACGCACACACACACACACACACACACACACACACACACACACACACACACGCACGCACACGCACACACACAAAAACTATAGAAAACACAAATTTAAGAAAAAGTTCTGAGCTAGTCCATTAAAGATATTGGCCAGAGGCAAAAATCCTTTGAACGGCATGTATAAAGAAGTATTAAAACCTCAGATGAGTCAGGTTTCTGGATTTTCGCAGCTGGAATTCTACGAAAATCTGATGTTTTTTACTGGCGCGGGAAAAACAGAAACTAACTTCCGGTCTAAGCCCTGGGCAGCTGGTGACGTTTTACAAGGTGCTCCGCTAAAACGGCAATAGTAAACAACGCCTGACTCCGGTGTTTCTGCGTAAGAGTTATAGCAGAGAACAATGTGTCGTCAGTCAGATGTAGCTTCAGAAGCTCTGCTAGTTGGTCAGATTTGTTTTTTTTTTCCTCTGGGATACGAACGGATATTGGATTACCAGAGAAGTTCAACCGAACTCCGTGCCCCGCTAGCTGGATATCATTACCCGAGGTGCAGACCTGCTTTGGACCGTTTCACTCAGAAAACCTGTGGCCCGATTAGGACACCGGGGAGGATTATGTTCATCTTTGGAACCAAAATCGGTACAGTTTGTTAAAGATTTCATGTCTGTGCTCCACCGGTAGCTTTCAGTTAAGTTCTCAGCTGATTAGCTCCATCATGTTGTCCCAATATAATTCAGTAATCTACAGATGAGTAAAATAGCATGTTGCCAGCTTTACCGCTGTGTGTATTTATTGAAATAACATTGGAAAATATTTAACTGATTGCTTACCAGAATAAATCTTCCTGATGCTAACTCGCTAGCTCGGATCGTTGTTTTCTAATCCAGGATGACACAGAGGTTCTACCGGTGCTATAGGAGGATCTGTTGTTGAAAAACGGGGATCATCTTTTACGTGTGTGTGTGTGTGTGTGTGTGTGTGTGTGTGTGTGTGTGTGTGTGTGTTATAGCTTTCACAAATTACTTGTTACCGGAGCTAACACGGTTAGTGCTGCGGCAGTCATGCTGACAGGACTCGCCTGCTGGATTCCAGAAGTACCGTTGTGGTTCTAAATGGATTTATAAATGTAGGTTATTATTTTAGGTCAAACCTATGTTAGTTAAAAATACGTGTAGGACACGGACATATGGCTCAGACCTGTAGCTGCAGCTGTAAACGCAATTTTCTGTTTTAATTAGGATCACGATAGTAAACAAAATACAGTGATTTACCTTGCTAGCAACAGCAGCTACCTAGTATGACGTGTGTGAGTGACGTATGCAAAACACGGTTCTTCGCTGCCAGGAGGAGAGAAATTTGATTTTCTATAATGATTTATGACTAAATCCCTAAACAAAATGAAGCAGCCTGCTGTGGCTATGTTTATGTTTGTGTATTTAGCAGACGCTTTTGTCCAAAGCGGCTTGCAAGTGATACTCGGCATGTTGCCCTTGAGGCTAACAACAACAACTTGACATCAATCATGGAGAGGAGGGAACAAAGGAGTGGACAGTAGAGAGGGGGGACGGGTGCAGGGAGGGTGCTAGTTTAGAAGATGCTCTCTGAAGAGCAGGGTCTTCAGGAGTCTCTTGAAAATTGAAAAGGAAGCCCCTGTTCTGGTAGGGCTTGGAAGGTCATTCCACATTTGTGGAACGATGCATGAGAAGAGTCTGGATTGTCCTGAGCGTGGTGTAGGCACTGCTAGTCGACGATCCTGTGATGACCGGAGTGGCCGGGCCGAGACATAAGCCGTTGCAAGAGGATTCAGGTAGATGGGAGCCGTACCATCTCGGACTTTGTATGCTAGTGTTAGCAATTTGAATTTGATGCGTGCTGCTAGCGGTAGCCAGCAGAGCTCAATGAACAGAGGGGTGATGTGTGCTCTTTTAGGCTGATTGAAGACCAGACGCGCCGCTGCGTTCTGGACCATCTGAAGAGGTCTCACAGTACAGCCTGGAAGACCAGTTAGAAGGGCATTGCAGTAATCGAGGCAGGAGATGACAGTAGATTGCACCAGGAGCTGGGTGGCATGTTGTGCTAGGTATGGTCTGATCTTTCGTATGTTATACAGCGCAAAAGCGGCATGAACGAGCAACAGAGGCAACATGATCTTTAAAGGTCAGGTGTTTATTAGCGCTAACAACGAGCTAACAGTAATATGAGACTGCTGATACTAAATAAGCCACAAATTAAAAAGCTCCAAATGAGCGTAGGTCAATATTCACTCTGGTTTTAGGTCTTTGCTTTGCCTCCAAAGGCATTACTCTCTGACTTTTATTTTCAGGCACCCCCATGATGCCAAAAAAAAAGCAAACCTCTTTTTTTTCCTTCTTGTGTATTTTCATTGATAGTCGACAAATCAAAAAAGCTTAGTACTAGCCTTTAAATTAGCTACCGGCACAGAAAATAGCTAAAAGCTATTAAGCAGGTATAGAGCGCCCCCTAGACCACCTACCAGCTCCACAAAACTGTTAAGTACTTTTTCTGGTCAGCAGAAGGCTGCAGAGCCCTGACCCATGTGAGGCTAGAACTACCAACATAATTACTGAGCCCATTTTTTAAAGGAATTGGTTAAAGTGTAAAAACTGCTTAGTGTTGCTTTGAATGCCTTTTAATATATTTATCTTTAAAAGGTAAGCTTTTAATCCATCTCCAGTGACTTCTCTGCACAAATAAAGTCAGATGTTTCCTCTGCAAGTGATAAGAAGCCTGCAGAATTATGCTCAGCAATTCAACGCTCGAAGGTAAATAAAAAAAAGCTCTTGATGCAAAGCTGTTCCAACATTTTTTGGATTGTAATTTTGATACATATAAAACATTCCACCAGAGCTGGTTTTATATATGTGCCATTTTGATTAAAAACAGCACAGACTGCAGCAATGTAAAAAGAGAGGGAAATCAGAGGTTTATACATGCAGCCACAGAGTTCAGCACCTCCCAAGTGATCATCAGTATTCTGTACATCTTTAACACCCCTCATAATTCTGCCAGAATTTTTGATTAATGCACAATCATTAAAGGCTTACCAAGTTTGTTACTCGGAAAGTCTCGACTGACAATCAGAGGATAAAAGTCTAAGCATGACATAAACCTTGTAATCCTTTATCATAGCAGATTTAGACTCGATGTAACCTCGGTTTCAGCTTGTTTATCTCCTTGGCTGTGTCTCTGGCAATGCAAAACAAGCAGTGCTCCAGACAATGGCATACCTATTCGCATGTGAGGCAGGGAACACATTTGCAGCATCTGGATGTGACTACCAAGCCTCTCCTGCTCTAATCCTGCAGGTGGCTGTGTTTCTGCTCAGGCACATAGAGAATCAAGTGGGCCATCCATTCACATCCTGCCTGCCATGAGTAGATTAACAAACACAGAGAAGAAGGAGAAACATAAATGTCCACCCAATCAAGAAAACATTAGAGATGTGAAGTTTGTGTTCTTTTAGTGAATGTTTGACTTGAAGGAAATAACGTGATGCATGCGTTTACACGGATTTTATTTTGTCTTATCGATAATGTGGCTAAAGTTTTAGAGAATGACACAAGCGTTGCTTTTTCACAATTTGTCTATTTCTGTGTATTTAGTCATTTTCCAATGTTTATACATTATTCTGAAATTCAATTACAAGTATTTTCCTAATTGAATTTCATGCAAAAAGTCAATAGCCCTTTAAAAGACACACCATGCCTGTGTTATGTCGATATGATTTCCCCTGTTGAAATCTATTTTCCACCTAGCTGCAAGTTGGAACCATCCACTGAACAAAAAACAACCCTAACCACAACCACGCTGTCACCCAAAATGTATGTTTTGCATAATTAACATTTTTGAAATGACTCTGTGTAACACAATTTTTATGTTTGTTTTAGGGTAAGGGTTAGGACACATTTTTGCAAGTGGATGGTTCAAACTTGCAGCTGGGTGGAAAAGAAACAGTTTGCAATGGGGGAACTCATAAAGACATAACACCGGCAAATCAGTGTAACATAGTCACAACAGTGTGTCTTATAAATGTGCCATGCCGGCATGGCATTGTGCGAATTTTGCGGCATTCGTTCCGCCTCACTTGGTAGTAGTATTGCAGTAATTGTCTGTCATACAAACGGTGATTGAGCCTTAGCGCAACAAAGGATGGTGTCATGATCACGTGGGGAGTTACTGCCGAGCCCCAGCCAGCAACTTCATTAAAAATCAAAGTAAAAATGGGATGTAAGATTCACTTTTGTAAAGAGAATCAGCTGAGATGATAATCTGGAGTGTTGACGAGCTACTGGAGCTTTATTCGTTAGAGCCGGACGTCAGATCACCAGCTAATGCATGGGGACTGTGGAGGACAGACACCTTTAGGAGTGACTTGATAAAAAATATGTAATGAGTGCGTCTTCAATCGCAATAAAACGCAAGTTATGTCCAAGATAAACGGAAGTCCACGGGAGCTCAGAGACCACCCCCATACCCCCTTTTATGCCGCCATTGCGTAATATTTTGTAAAAAGGACATGCTTGTGCAACATTACAGCCAAGATCTGACCACTTATAAATGACCTAAGGCACCCTGATGCCATGGCGTTGCGGCAAATTCAC